GCCTTAAAGTCCCTGAAGCCTGGTGCTAGGAGGCAAGATCAGGGGGAAGACCCTGGCCTGGCCTCCAGTCCTGTGGGTTGGTCAGCCACTGTGTGTGAAACGGGAGGCAGGACAAGACAGACTACTGGTGTGATCCAGCAGGGTGGTGGTTCTTACGATTCATAGGGGGAGAGGCAGTCCGTCAAGAATGTCCATCATACCATGGCTTTATTGGTGATAACGAGTGCCTTTGATTAACTTGGAAGCAGGCCGCCAATGTAGCAGTTTCAAAAGGGCTGCTTGCTCATGATGACAAATCATCTGTTGCATTTTGCACCAGTTGAAGTCTCTAGGTCATCTTCAAGGGCAGTCCTAAATGTACTGTGTTGTGAAAGTCCAGTCTCACGGCTGGTGTAGCTGTGATCTATTTGGCCGAGCCAGCAGAATCCAAATTAAGGGTGGGCGTTTGGATTTTTCTGAGCCAAAACAGTGCCCCGAATTCTTTGTTTGCTTTTGGGCTAGAAATATCTGAACACTTGTTCAGGTGATTTATCCCTGGGAATCAGCAGACTTTAGCCATTTCCAGGCAACCTGGCCACACTAAAACTAGAATTGGGCTGAGAGTGTCCTGAAGTTCCCCCCTCTATTCTGCAGTAAGGGGTGATATGAAGTAGCAGTTACCGTTCAGACCCTGCTTGCAGAAGCAGCCGATATATTCTTCCTCCTGCAGCTTCCAGCCAATGCCCCACTAGTCTTAAAGCAGAGTTCACAGAGGTGACACTCTTCCCCCCAGGTGCCCTGGGCCTTTTTTCACCCACTCTTAGTTGCCGCTTGCATTAAGACTTTCTGTTCAGGAACGCACAGTGAGACTCTGCCCATTCTTGGAAGCGGAAGCTGTGTCCTAGTCCTCAGCTCTTCCACAGTCTACAGGGGACGTGGCCTTAGAAGTCGCACGTAGCTCACAGAACAGCTGTGGGAAAATCCCCCTGGCCCATTGCTGGGTTCTCTGCTGTTGTCATCCTCACCAAACAGGTCTGCCACTAACAAGCAGTGCAAGGGAAGGTCCCGCAGGGAGTGACTGTGAAACAGGCGCCCGAGAGCTCAGTCTGGTCAGCAGAGAAGAGTGGGTGACCAGCATGCTCCAATGACTCGGAAGCCTGGTGTCCTGAAATGTTCATTGGTCTCGAAGATGCTACTGGACTGGAATCTCAATGCTAAAACCAGCAGGCCAACCATTCCCAGCACCTTGGGGATTTGTGTGTGAGTGAGTGAGTGAGTGAGTGAGATGGGCCCTTGCTTGAACCTGAGGGGACCCACACTGCCCCTCCGATGAGTTTGGGGAACCTGCTTGGCTTTGAGAGACAAGCCCTTCACTCTGTTACCAGATGTTCTTAGGGCAGCGAGTGTAAAGGCTTTGGGTTGCTACTCTGAGGTAAGTTCTGTATTGAGCTTCAAGAGTGCAGAAATAGCCGGAGCAGGAGGTTTAATAAAACAACAAAGGAGACTTGTTAATGCACGGGTTTTGTGGTGAATTCCCTTTAAAGCTTAACATGTCCAGATCTGCTCATAACCAGAAACGGTCCCCACCCCTCTGCCACACTACCGGGCAGAGCTCCACTTCAACGCATCTGCTCCCTTGCTGAGCCAGGGCCCCCCCCCCACTTCAACTGTCTGCCCTTCCTCTCCTGCAGCCCTCGGGAAGGAGAAGGGATGCTGGAGCGGCAGGGGTAGAGGCTCAGGCAGGAAGGCAGCCGAGTGGCAGAACCGCCTCCTGTCTGTTACATCTTCCCTTGCATTGAGACAGTACAGGGAGAATGCAACGCTCTGTGGTCGCTTACAAATACTATTGCCTCAAAGACAAACCCTGAATGTGCCAGCCAACCAAACAACGTGTGCCTTCAGAAATAAAACATTTTTAAAACGTACTGAATTAGAAAATTAATGTCACCTCTCCAGGAACCAGTGTTCCCTCTAAGCTGAGTTAGTGTGAGCTAGCTCACAGTTTTTAGCCTCCGGCTCACACATTTTTGTCTTGGCTCAGGAGGGATGGCTCCAGAGCAAACCCATTTATGCAGTAGCCAAAACGCTTGCAACTTTAATGCCGGTAGCTCACAAAGTAGGATTTTTGCTCACAAGACTCCACAGCTTCGAGGGAGCATTGCCAGGAACCCACTCCATGTAGCTTACCACTAAAACCGTGAACCAAAGCCATTAAAAACAATGGTTCACTGGCAGGACAGGCTGCATTTCTAACCCATTCCACACCAGACATCTGTACTAAAGAGCCTAGGGCATAAGATCTTTTGTGGCCCAACAGTCCTGTGTGTGGATGCTGAAATCCCCCAGAACCATTTGCCTTGGAGTGTCCAATGCCAGGCTGAAGATCACCTGTGTCAGCCCATATCGTGCCCTTGCTGGCAAACTGGCTAGATGTTATACTGGCAGGATACCCAGTCCACGGAGGCCAACACAGGGAACATATCGTAATCACCAGCAATAGTTTGCACTGGGAATTGGTAGGAGACTCAGGAAGTTATAGCTGCCCAGCTACCCCATCATCCAGTGCAAGGCTGATTGATGCAGGACTGGAAACTCAGCTGGAACCACCCAAGATGGACACACCGTCGGCCAGACCTCTGATCCACCCCCAAAATACCACACAGTGAAGAGATATAAGAACATGAGAGAAGCCCTTGTTGGATCAGGCCAATGGCCCATCCAGTCCAACACTCTCACACAGTGGCCAGAAATACCAGGAGGTCCAGCAGTGGGGCCAGGACCCTAGAAGACCTCCCACTGTTGCCCCCCCCCAAGCACCAAGAAGACAGAGCACCCCTTGCCCCAGACCGAGAGTTCCTATCTATACCTTGTGGCTAATAGCCACTGATGGACCTCTGCTCCATATGCTTATCTAATTCCCTTTTGAAGCCGTCCGTGCTTGTAGCCGCCACCACCTCCTGTGGCAGTGAATTCCATGTGTTAATCACTCTTTGGGTGAAGAAGGACTTCCTTCTATCTGTTCTAACCGGACTGCTCAGCAATTTCATGGAGTGCCCACCAGGAGTTCTTGTATGGTGAGAAAGGGAGAAAAGTACCTCTTTCTCGACCTGCTCTATCCCATGCATAATCTTATAAACCTCGATCATGTCACCCCTCAGCCATCGTTTCTCCAAGCTAAAGAGCCCCAAGCGCTCTAACCTTTCTTCATGTCCTCCTCCTAGCCGATTGGGCCCTGGATAGCATCAAGGGCGAAGTGGAGGGATCACAGTCCCCCCCCCCCCACAACCGTGCCTGAAGACAGAACGGGCATGCAAAGAGCTCCAGAACCTGGCCCTGCTCGTGGACCGGCTAAACCACTCTGCTCCACACTGCCATCATTCCCTGATCCCTGTCGCGTCCTGATGTCATCTGCAGCCATAAGTTTGCTCTGCCTAACTTCACAGAAGACCCTCGCAGAACAGCAGCCTGGTCCCCACGCCTCCCACAGAGAGTGCAGCCAGGGCCGCCAAACACACATGAAATACCACCCCCACCCCTGCAGACGGCACCTAGTTTGTGAGGCAGCCGTGCTCTGGATGCCCGCATCATAAAATCAGACTCCGGGAGGAGCGGAAGTGCAGAACAAACAGGGGGCCTGCTCTCCCCAGAGTCTATAGACAGCGCACACCCCTGCTGGGAAGGGAGGTGACTTTATTGGGGGCAGATTCTGGCAACTGGAAGCTTAGTGGGTTTGCGACAGAGCCAGTGTCTGCATCAATGCCCCACTGACTCTGACCTGGTCTTAAGTAAGAGCAGAGCGGGTGAGAAGTCCAGATCTTCAGCTCTTCTTTCAGCCAAGAGGACCTCAGGCCAAATGCCCTCTTCCCCTTAGGTGCAGCAGAGACTCGGGGAAACCTGCCAGGGCCTTTACACTTCTGATCCTCTTGCGGCAACTCCCATTAAAACACCCCCCCCAATCGTTTGTCTTCTGGAACTCTGGCTCCACTCCAGGAATGGTTTCCGTGCCTCCAGATGTGGACTGACTCCACAGGAACCTGACTGCCTGGGTGATGGAAGAGGCCACTGGCTCAACGTGGGAGAGTAAATCAAGGGGGCACAACCTGCTCTGTATGTCCACGTCCACCAGTAGGGCAGTCTTGAGTGCCTTCCAGCAGCCTTCGGCAATCTAGAAGGCTCCCCATCCCAGCTTCCTTGACAGGGCCCTCCAAACGTCTTAAGGGGGGGGGGGGGAGAGAGACGGGTGGCAGGTGTGATGTTTCCCTGGTCTGGAAAAAGTGCTCCCTGCGGGCTTGCATCTGGGAGCAGCTGCTGTAGAGGGGAATGCTACCAGCCGCCGCCACCACCACCCCCGGCCATGCAATGAGCCTACTAGCTAGGAAGGACTTCTACCAGCGGCCCCAAACCCACAAGCGTCCCTCCCCAGCCCTGCAGAGGCACGAAGGGGGCACCACCCCATGGGGTAGGGTCAGAAGAAGAAGAAGAAGAAGAGGTTGGATGGATACCCCGCCGTTCCCTCGGCGTCTCTGAGCGGCTGACAATCTCCTTCCCTTCCTCTCTCCACAATGGACACCCTGCGAGGTAGGTGGGGCTGAGAGTGCTCTGAGAGAGCTTGTGAGTGACCCAAGGCCACGCCAGCTGGCTGCATGTGGAGGCGGAGTGAGGAATGGAACCCGGCTCCCCCAGATTGGAGTCATCCACTCTTAACCACCACAGCACACCACGGCCGGACCTCAGTTCTGAGGATGCTCGCTCCTGCTGCTCCCTCGCCTTGAGCGGGTCGGGGCGCGCGAGCGTGCGCAGTAGCCGTGCGCCGGGCCCGGGACCCTGGATAGGCGCCTCTTTTGTGCCGGGCGCGCGGCGGCGGCGCGTGGTCCATGCGTGGCGCGGGGCGGGGCCGTGCCGGGGCCCCGCAACCTGCATTGGCGTCGCGCGCGTGCAGCGCCCGAGGGGCGTCGCGCGCGGCAGGCAGCTTCCCGGGCCCGGCCCGGCCCCGCTTTCTGGCTCGTCGCCTCACAGGAAAGATGGCGCACAGCGGTCGGTGGCGCTTCCCGGCCCGGCCGGGCACTGGCGCCTGGGGCCGCCGCGGGCTCGGGGGCTGCCGCGTGCGGGTG